ATTGCGTGTTCAATTTCTGTGCTGTGTCTTACTTGCATCTTTGCAAAGGCTTATTTCGCTTTAAAATTATTGCGTGTTTTGATTTCAGTGATGAAGTCTCCTTCATAATTGACTTTGCTGCCTGATGCCTAAGTATGTGAAATCTTTTTTAAAAAAATTGAATAAAAAGACACCAATAGTGAAACTTAAAAAAAAAAGTATCACATTAACTACAAATACCTACAATGTTGTCATCAGCCAAACACTTACGCACATTGTATGGCTCTGCACATGTGCGCGGTGACAAAATGTTTGTTTATAGGTGTGAGGGTGATGGTGAAACCCCCAGTTGTGAGAGTGGGGTTATTGTGGTTATATGAATGTGTCTATTTGTATACCGTAACGTATACTGTAATACACATCCAGTCCGGGGATCGTACCGTGTTATCGTCTTCTTTAAAATCGTAGCCTGGCACAGTTGAGTGAAATCAAACACAAGTCCAATTCAACATATACTATAATGATTTTATTTAACTCAAATCAATCTCCTACTTCTACCTAACTAGTCTATACTATCATATTCTGTCTATAAATACTCCTCCCTACACACTCCCATGACCAACCGTAACACTATCTACATTCTAACGTTTACATCTTCACCCTAGCACTACCTATCTCTAACTGCTGACTAACTGCTGACCCACGCTTCAGTGGTCATCTCACCGTACCACGTGACCGGTCAGCTTCTGTATTTCCATTTGTCCAACGAACTAAGCTATTTTCTGTTTCTGTTAACTTCTACTTGACCTATCTGACGTAAACTTGCGCCATCACAACAAGGATACCACAGATAACAACCCACAATTACCTTTTGAGTTTACACTAGAAAATATAAAGCGGGTCAACACAATAATTTCAAACGACCCCAACGTGATCAGAACAACAGATTCCAGGACCTCAACGTGATCAGAACAACAGATTCCAGGACCTCAACGTGATCAGAACAACAGATTCGCATGTGACCTCCTAAAGGTTCAGGTTTTGGTGTTAGGGCTGATTTATAGTTTCCATTAAACAATTTAGGTGAAAACAATTAAGGAATTGCTGATATGAGTAAAAACATTTTTCTTGTTGGCAACATTTACATGAATGCTGATAAAAAAAAATGTGTACATTTTTTGACTGTAACCATGACTGACCTGATATTTAAAATTTAAAAAAAATAGTATTACGATAACCATGAATTAACATGGAACATAGCACAGTAGTAATACTAATGGTAATTGTAATACTAACAAAAACTGTAGAGAGAGAGTAGATCAAGATCTATACTATCTAACCAAAACAATGAACAAAACCTGTCTTAATTAATACTATCTTGTCGGAATAAGTTGAAGATAGGATGCAAGCCCTCATGCGAAATAGGCTCGAACTTTTTCGCACGAATGTGCAGAACAGGAATGTGCTTGTAAGACAGTCAACTCTTAACTAAAACCTCTGGAGCAGGTGTGTTTGCAGAATGAAAGTGATGATCAAACTGACAGCCAATTAAACTTTTTTTTTCTTCAAAAATCAAAAGTTTAGTTGCAATTTGTTTTTAAATGTAGCACGGTAAAAATATAAATAAATCGGGAGTGATCTCACTTAAACTAAAAAATAAATAAATGCATGTGTCTAAATTAAGTGGTACTGGCTCAATTGATTACTTATTTCAAGGGAGAAAAATTGGTGATTATTAAACTTTGATATTTCCTTTTTAATTGATAAAAAAAAATTGGTATGGTGACCATAGTAGTGAACATCTACAGTGAACATCTACATCGTGTTTCTCCTGATAGAATCTAGATTTTTTTTTCTACTGCTATACCACGTTGAAAATACCGGTTCTCAATCTGATAGATTCTAAGCTTAAAATTTTGACACAAGTTGCAAAAAAATTACATTGACAAACATAGAAGTTACTCAAGTTTCAAATAAGCAGAAAGTCATAAAAAATAATGTTTTTACAACCTTAAAAATGGTTTTTTAAATATACAAGATTATCTATAACTAATTTTGGGGTCCTGAGTTTAGCTTTCTTTTTTTTAAACTTATTTTTTTTCTTCAAATATCAAAAGTTTTGTTGCAATTTGTTTTTAAATGTACCACATTAAAAATATAAATAAATCGGGAGTGACCTCCCCTAAACTTTAAAAAAAATAATTAAATTAATCGAATGAACTGCTATAGATATAGATGGTTCAAAGGAAAGAATATAATTAGACGTTTTGTATTAGTTCTATGTATAAGTAAACCATCTTAAATGAATGAAAGTAGGCTACATGTAAGAAAGAAATATTACTATTGCAAATCTGTATCAGTCCCCAGAAGCCGATGATGAAAACTGACGCTATAAATTACAGGTTTTAATTACATGTTAAAAACATATTTTTCAGCACTCACGCACGCACGTACACGTACACGTACACGTACACGTACACGTACACGTACACGTACACGTACACGTACACGTACACGTACACGTACACGTACACGTACACGTACACGTACACGTACACGTACACGTACACGTACACGTACACGTACACGTACACGTACACGTCAACGTACACGTACATGTACACGTACACGTACACGTACACGTACACGTACACGTACACGTACAAACACACGCACACGCACACGTACACGCACACGTACACGTACACGTACACGTAAACGTACACGTACACGTACACGTACACGTACACGTACACGTACACGTACACGTACACGAACACGTACACGAACACGCACACGTACACGCACACGTACATGCACACGTACACGCACACGTACAAACACACGCACACGCACACGTACACGCACACGTACACGTACACGCACACGTACACGCACACGTACACGCACACCTACACGTACACGCACACGTACACGTACACACAGATACACATACACATATATTAAGCGTGAACACATTGCATTGGACAAGTGTTGTGTAACAGTGTAGTGCATTCTGTTGTGTTCTGATTTGTGTTGTGATATGTTTTGTTTTACGTTTTATGTTATGCATGATGTGTTATGTTTAGTGTGATGTTTTATGTTTTGTTTTACGTTTTATGTTATGCATGATGTGTTATGTTTAGTGTGATGTTTTATGTTTTGTGTGATGTGAAATGTTTTGTGTGATGTGTTATGTTAAGTGTGATGTGTTATGTTTTGTGTGATGTGTTATGTAATGTGAAATGTGTTACGTTTTGTGTGATGTGTTATGTATTGTGTGATGTCTTATGTATTGTGTGATGTGTTATGTAATGTGAGATATGTTATGTTAAGTGATGTATTATGTTTAGTGTGATGTGTTATGTATTGTGTGATGTGTTATGTGTTGTTGATGTGTTATATTTAATGTAATGTGTTATGTAATGTTGTAGTGAACCCTAATGTACTGTATGTAAACTGGCGTGAGAAGGTGAGTTTGTGTACACATGAAACTGGGTGTCCATGTGATGAGTAGAGGGGGTGAAGGCGTCGGTCCCCTAGGGATAATATGTGAGATCGATGGAGGGCACACTCGGGTCAGGGGGGGGGGGGGGGGGGGGAAGGTAGGGGGACGTGGGTGATTGTGGACCGCAAAAAATATCTTTAATAACTTATTTTTACCAACGCTTCTACTATTATTTCCAATCGTGGTTATATTTTAATTTTCATTGTATTTAAAAGATTTTTTTTTTTTTAATTTTTATTGACTTGTTTTATTAAAAGTTCTGGTTTTGTTTCGGTGGTTTTTACAGTAGTAATATGTGAAGGTGATCATTCTCATGCATATAGATCTAGTTTGTGGGTAGTTTTTGCTATACTGATCGTGTGTAGGTGGTTTTTGTATTAATATTCGTTAGTAGCTAGTAGTTGTAGTTTTTATAGTGTGGCGTGTGTTTTTACAATAATGTTCGGGTAAAGGTGATTATTGTTGTATTGATTGTTTGTATGTGGTTTTTGTTGTATTGATTGTGAGTATGTGGTTTTTGTAGTATTGATTGTGTGTATGTCGTTTTTGTTGTATTGATTGTGTGTATGTGGTTTTTGTTGTATTGATTGTGAGTATGTGGTTTTTGTTGTATTGATTGTGTGTATGTGGTTTTTGTTGTATTGATTGTGAGTATGTGGTTTTTGTTGTATTGATTGTGAGTATGTGGTTTTTGTTGTATTGATTGTGTGTATGTGGTTTTTGTTGTATTGATTGTGTGTATATGGTTTTTGTTGTATTGATTGTGTGTATGTGGTTTTTGTTGTATTGATTGTGTGTATGTGGTTTTTGTTGTATTGATTGTGTGTATATGGTTTTTGTTGTATTGATTGTGTGTATGTGGTTTTTGTTGTATTGATTGTGTGTATGTGGTTTTTGTTGTATTGATTGTGTGTATGTGGTTTTTGTTGTATTGATTGCGTGTATGTGGTTTTTGTTGTATTGATTGTGTGTATGTGATTTTTGTTGTATTGATTGTGTATGTGGTTTTTGTTGTATAGATTGTGTGTATGTGGTTTTTGTTGTATTGATTGCGTGTATGTGGTTTTTGTTGTATTGATTGCGTGTATGTGGTTTTTGTTGTATTGATTGTGTGTATGTGGTTTTTGTTGTATTGATTGTGTGTATGTGATTTTTGTTGTATTGATTGTGTGTATGTGATTTTTGTTGTATTGATTGTGAGTATGTGATTTTTGTTGTATTGATTGTGTGTATGTGGTTTTTGTTGTATTGATTGTGTGTATGTGGTTTTTGCAGTGCTGTTCGTGTTGGGACTAAGTGACTTTACTGAACCATTAAAAAGTCGGTCAAAGTCTAATGTATAGACAAACAGTATGATTGATAACGTGGTTGGGGTGGGGGTGGTGAATCAATATATGAACGTGGGGGTGGGGTGTTGAATCAATATATGAACGTGGGATGGGCAATTTAGCGTGGGAGATGAGAGAGATCAATAATTACCTGTGGTCACAGAGCTCGATTTCTTGATCAGGTATTATAGCCTCGGGGTCAGGGGACATAACTGGCCCAGGTCAACAAATACTAGCTGACCTGGGGGTGCTGGGCTGAGTGGCGCCCAACCCTGCTGGTCTCTGGTCCGACTGGCGCAGCGCCCCACCCCGTTGGTCTCTGGGCCAAGTGGCGCCCCACCCCGTTGTTCTCTGGGCCGAGTTGCGCCCCATCCTACTGGTCTCTGGGCTGAGTGGCGCCCCATCCTGTTGGTCTGAGCCGAGTGGCGCCCCACCCTGTTGGTCTCTGGGCCGAGTGGCGCCCCACCCTGTTGGTCTCTGGGCCGAGTGGCGTCCCACCCTGTTGGTCTGAGCCGAGTGGCGCCCCATCCTACTGGTCTCTGGGCTGAGTGGCGCTCCACCCTGTTGGTCTGAGCCGAGTGGCGCCCCACCCTGTTGGTCTCTGGGCCGAGTGGCGCCCCACCCTGTTGGTCTCTGGGCCGAGTGGCGCCCCACCCTGTTGGTCTCTGGGCCGAGTGGCGTCCCACCCTGTTGGTCTGAGCCGAGTGGCGCCCCACCCTGTTGGTCTCTGGGCCGAGTGGCGCCCCACCCTGTTGGTCTGAGCCGAGTGGCTCCCCACTCTGTTGGTCTGAGCCGAGTGGCGCCCCACCTAATTGGTCTATGGTCCGACTGGCGCCCCACCCTGTTGGTCTGAGCCGACTGGCGCCCCACCCTGTTGGTCTCTGGGCCGAGTGGCGCCCCACCATGCTGATCTCTGGGCCGAGTGGCTCCCCAACATGCTATTCTCTGGACCGAGTGGCGCCCCACCCTGATCAACTCAACTAAAGCACATTCGTGTACATTATTAGCAGCCTTTAAGTAAATTATTCTAATCAACAACATTCAAATTAGTTCATGCTTATAAATTATGTGACACATACATAGATCATTTACTATCTTAGCTAATCTAGCATTATATTAAATGTCCATAGTCAGCCCCCCCCCCCCCTAATATGGCATAAGAAGACCCCCCCCCCCCCCTCCCTCACCATCCCACATACAAACACGTTTCTTTCATTTTCACCTTTCTTAAACTTAAAATATGCGCTGCATGAGCTATTGGCTCCGACATCAGTCTGCTTTTCAATCTGGAATTTACTTCCCTAGTTTGTGTCCACCTAGGAACAATCTGAAAGACAAGTTGTTTTGTTTTGGTGTTTTCTGTCATCTACTATCTAGCATCATCTACCCTTTTTTTAAATTTCTATCGTGCAACAGTTTCTTCAGCTCTGTAACCTTTCAAATATACCACCAAAGTATGTGCCGTCTTTAACCACAGTATTAACAGTCTTCCAACCCAGTAAAGTTCCATCTCATTCTTTACAATTCTGTGGGTCCTAGATCCAATACACTTGCCTACAGGTTCTACTAGAAGAAGCTGGGTGTGATTAAAAAATGTGGTTGTCGTAAATGTAAACTCTCAATGACTTTGTAGGTTTTGCTTTAAAAATAATATTTTGTAAGGCTGGTCATAAGTTGCGTGTTGAAACGATGCTTTGAGCTTCATCCTAAATATATAATCCAAATATATAAAAGCCCATGTGAGCACTTCTCTCTCTGTGTGCAACATTTTTATAGGCGATGTGATCAGTATGTTCAGCGATTTATGGAGAACTTAAAGATACGGACTTTTGTTGAAAGTAATATGGCGGATGTTTTAAATCTATAAACTAAATTTCCTTTAAAGTTGGAAAATAAAAGTATAGGCATATTCGAATTTAGAAACACATTTCTAACTATTCAGCAGGAAAAGTATTTATTTTCGTGACAAGAACGCAATATACAATAACGTCACAAGCCAAACGTTTAAATTACGGAAAACACAAAAAACTAATGTCGTCATCTTCCACTTTTAGAGTATAAAGAAATGAACTATTTCATTAAAATTTGATTTAGATCTATATTCTATAAATCTACTTATCAAGACGTACGCTATGAAATATATAGAATTTTCTCGGTCAAACTAATAAAAATGACTTTAAAACAAACTACGTAAATACCATTCAACAGGCGGGTTTTTAATGGAATCATTTAAGTCTCTTAATCAGTGTGAGCATTTAATAATCTTAAATTATTATGGTGTTGTGTTGACTAATAATGTATATAATTTTGTTTTTCTAATAGGTATTGGTAGCTTTTGGTATTTTAAATGTATCGGATTTTTAGCTATTCAGTTATTTCTTTGCTTTGTCACTAATATCGTTCGACGTGTAGTAAAGAACACTGCGTTTTCTTCTTCTTCTTCGTCCTTAATTATTAGAGTTGAAGGGGATCGAGATTTATCTGCCAGTGGGTTTGAACTCGAGACTTAGTTCGAATTTATCAACCATGAGCTTTTTGCCCATTGCGTTGTGACCAATAACTTTTTTTATAAAATATTTTTCTGAAACAAGTGTAAAATAAAAATATATAGGCCTATAATTCACGTGTAACGGGTACTGAGGGCTGGTATATTACGATAATTTTGTGTTCCAGTTTTCATTTTCTTTCCTTTCTTTTTTTCTAATATTTTGTGAAGTTATGCCTATTCAAAAAAAAATAAGGTGGTATTGCCTTCAGTTTGTACACATGGCGTATCTACAGAAATTGTTTCCATTAATCATAAGGTTTTTATGAACGGCTATTACAATATAAAATATTCAGAATTTTAATTTGATTTTATAAAACATTTATTGTGATCAGGCAAATGTGGCATCAACTTTACCTCACCGACAGTGATCCGTTTTAAGGAAAAGGTCGACAAATCCGGTTCAGACAGGGTGAACTTAGATTAAAACGACCGAGTTATCGCCAGTGACAGGGGAGGTAACGTGTACACAATGCTGAAGGGAAATCCCGGAAAGTTGTCTGCCCATTAACAAAAGCAAGGTAAAGTCTGACGTCAATTTTTTTTTACATTGAGGAATGTAAAAAGTTTCCGCTGCGTGGATTGGTCAGATCGATGAAGCGAGGGATGGCGTTTAAAAAGATTAAGGAATGAAATATTGAAGCCTGGATGATTACACGAAAATACTCGGGTCGTGGACATTCGACTGGGGGATCAGTTTAAAAACAGAATGTTTTGATAGCTTTTATATTCTATACGCTCGTGAGTTTGCACTTTTCTGGGGGTTTAAAATTTTTCCCATTGAAGCTATTCTAATGTGCGCGTGTTATATGTGAAGCTAGACGTATATGTCAAGTTTAGCAATATTTATATGTCATGTCCAGCTAAATTCATATGTAATATCCAGCAATATTTATATGTTATATCCAGCTAAATGAATATGTAATATCCAGCAATATTTATATGTCATGTCTAGCAATATTTATATGTCATGTCTGGCAATATTTATATGTCATGTCTAGCAATATTTATATGTCATGTCTAGCAATATTTATATGTCATGTCTAGCAATATTTATATCATGTCATGTCTTGCGAAATGTATACATCATGTCTTGCGAAATGTATGTGGTGTGCAGCTCAATGTGTATGTTACGTCCAGCAAAATGCATGTAATGTCCAACAAAATATATATGTCAGGGAGTCATTCCACCATTTTTATTTAGCGTGTGTTGCTTTATTTCTTTATTTCTAACAATTGTTCAAACAGATATGAATGTCATTTTTCAGTTCAGGAAGTTTGGACTGAGACTATCACATTTGTGATGTGACATTGGAGATGTGACATTGGTAATGTGACATTGGTGATTTGGCATTAGTGATTTGACATTAGTGATGTGCCATTGGTGACATTGGTGATGTGACATTGGTGATGTGACATTGATGATGTGACATTGGTGATGTGACATTGGTGACATTGGTGATGTGCCATTGGTGACATTGGTGATGTGACATTGGGGATGTAACATTGGTGATGTGACATTGTTTATGTGACATTGGTGATGTCAAGACAAACGGAAGATGTCACATGCATTAAGAAGTTTTCTCAGGCTGAAGTACACAAATATGGCCAATTAGAAAAAAAAACAACATGGCTTTAACTTTGACATTCCCGCCCCCCCCCCCCCCCCCCTCTCGTCATTCAGTAGGCATTGTGAATCAAAATCGATATTTAATTTAATTTTTTAATATAAGGCGCTTAATATTTTATTAGCCTTGTGAAAGTTTAAACACATACCCCCACACATGTCCCTACACATGCCCCCCCCACACACCACACCAACCACACACACGAATAAATATACACGCGACAAAGCATACACACTCACAAACACACTCCCACACATTATGAAGAGTCAATAACCCCTTACACCCTTCGTGTTGGGAACGAAGTACAAAGTACTGATAAACGAACCAGCTTCTAGTCATGTAACTCGAGTGGATTCCGTGGGGGCTTTTAGAGCCAAGTTGATACGACAACTAATATAGACCGGTTGGGTATACGACTGACATACCTCTGGGGTGGACTGGCCCCCAGGTTTATCGGGAAAAAAATTCCCAGAAGGCCCTCAAAAAATTCCAGGAAACGGCGCTGTATTGTGTCTATTAGACTATAAGTGCTTTGATTTTAAAAAAAATGTCGCGCGAATTTCCATGAGGCTTGGGATGATCGTCAAACTTGATGGGGGAAAAATGCACATGAAAATTTCACTTTGGTGTTGGGGGAAATATTCCCGGGTGAGTCAAGCAATGGGGTTTAGAGCTGACACTGTTCTATCATTTGTCTAGATCAGGGGTCTCCAAACTACGGCCCGCGGGCCGGATGCGGCCCGCGAGGTCCTCTCGTCCGGCCCGCGGAGATCTTTTTGTCCACGAAAAAAACGTTTGTTGGTGATGGCTGAGGAACTTTGCTCAGAAAAATCAAAGACATGCCTGGAAGAAACTGGCCCCCGAACTGAAATTTGATAGTTAATGCGGCCCTCGGACTGAAAAGTTTGGAGACCCCTGGTCTAGATCATAGAAACAGGTGTAAAGTACTTCGTACGTCCAACGATCCATCCAGAGTTTTTTTCAGGCATCTCTTCGGGGGTGCACTGCTCCGCCTCTCCCCTCCCCCCCCCCCCTCGTTGAAGCAGCCCCCCTCACGGACGAAATAAAAAAATATAAGAATAGTTTATATACTGAAATCAGCGTCCGTACCCGGTAATTAAAGTAAACCCCCGCTACACTCCACCAAAAGTTTCAAGTGCGCCCCCACCCTCCCCCAGAGAAAAAAAATGTCTGAAAGAAAATACTGGGACCTTTAGGTCCGAATAAGTTACAAAAGAATCCAGCAATACAACACTCCCTACATCAGTAGTTGAGTTACCTGGATGTTGAAACATCGTATTCTAACCGTCCGCTCGCTGTGACGTCAACAACTGCCCACGACCGACATCAAACAAACTAGCACGGAATTATGGGTAGCTTCCTGTCGCCCCTGGCCACTTTTGATATATTATCCTGCAATATGCCAGAAAGGCCTGGGGTTTTTATCCCATTTTTTGGACTAATCGTTATCGTGATGTATCCAAGCTTGACAAAAGCATCATCTCGCTGTAATTAGTCTCAGAAATATGTTCTGGTTAATTACATTAATTATGGTTTACCTTAGATCATTCAACAACAATGGCTAGGGTTTATTTGTGAATTTTCAAACATGAGAGGTTTCCAAATTACAGTTTTTTTTCTCTTTATAATTTGCTAAAAGTTATTAAATGAATCCAAACGTCAAATTGTTAAATAAGTAGTGCGATATGTTTTTGGTGTTGTAGAAAATATG